GGGTCTGTCTCTAGACTCTTATCCCAGTTTTCCAGAACCCCATTGTCTTTATGACCCACTGTCTGGAGGCCCCACCTCCCTGCATTATTTTGCACATTTCTTTTTTTCTCCTGAACAGCAGGCAAGTTTATCTGGTTCTCCCACCGTGGTGATCTTCTTTGAAAACGTTGAGATTGCTTAGATTCTTAGATTTATAGATCAAACTGAGATAAAATTCTCATCTTAAAATAGTTGACGACTTCAGCTGATCCACGTGGTACGAGTTCCACATGACACTGTGGTGAAGAGGATTTTGGAAATCTCTGTATTTGGGGCCACCCCTCCCGCCGTGCGGGCTGTGGATATTCCCTGTGGGCGATGCTGACCTTGGTTTCAGGCAGCCCCATTCTCAAGCTGCTGCGAACTCGGAGCCGAGGTTTCGGTAGCGCTCCCAGACGCCTGCAGTGTACGTGTCTGTGTTCCCTCAGCCTGCCCCCCTCACATGGGGTAAACTGAGTCCGGGCCTTCAGGCTGCAGGCTCTCAGGCCAACTTCTACCCTCGACCTCTCCCCACCACCCCCTGCTCTTGGGACCCGGGAGGACCCCGCAAGGGCGGTGACAGGGAAGGCCAGCGCTCTGTTGCAGGACGCATGTTCTCCCCACCTCCCACTTGGTATGGCCCAGGGCCAGGCCACCTGGGAGCAGAGCCAACTTCCCGTTCTCCATTTTGTGTATTTTCCAGGACACACTTGTTGGAGCTCGGCAGCAGCCTTCTCCCGGGTAGGCGCCTGGGGGCTGAATCTCTGGTCCACCCTGTGTCACCTGCACCTGGTACACCCCAGGGCGGGCCCCTGGGTGCTGGAACAGACAACAGCCAGGTGACGCTGTGGCCTAGGCCCAGTCTGGTTACCTGGAGCCCTGGGAGGGGTGGGGAGGCAGACCCTGCCCAGGGCCAGTGCCTGGAGCATGGTTGCTGTGGGTATGGCAGAGGCTTGCCTGAGATGTGGGCTAGGCCCTTCCAGTGGGTCAGGTCTGGGGTGGTGCCCAGGGCTGTGCACCCTCAGGCTGCTGCCCAGTGGACCAGTGGCCTGTCAGCCCCGACTGTCATTCACGGGGTCCCAGCATGGGTGTGTGGGCGGCTGACCCAGGCTCTTATGATGCTGTGGCTGTTGTTCGTCCGTCGTCCCATTAATGCCAAGCTGGTAGGACCTACCTGGCTGACTGTGTTCGGCATGACCCGAGGGCCCACTGGGGTTCTGGAAGAGGATGGAGACCATCCCTGCTTGGCTGTGATTCCGTCCTCTTGACCTGTGGTGGCCGTGACCTGAGGTGGGGCCTCTGGGAGCAGGCGCCTCCTCTTTCCTCCCCCATGGCGGGCACCTGCCTGTCCACCTCTGAATCTGGGTGTCAGCATCAAGGTAGGAGTGCAGGGCCGGCTTGTTAACTGGGATTCCGTCCAGCGGGCGCCCAGCCAGTGTCAGAGTGGCCCAGGGGCCACCACGAGCCCCTGGTCCCGCTTCCCTCCTGGTTCCGGGCTCCAGCTACGGGCCACGTCGATCTTCACACGACTCTGGACTGCTGGGGTCACTATCCCTGCTTCCCCACCGAGAGAAGTAGCCGAGACCCCGACCAGGCCTGCGCTCCCTTGGCACTCAGCATCTCCCAGCCACGACAGCACCGGTGGCTCAGAAATAAGGTCCCGGGACAGATGTGCCCGGCCAGACATCGAGCTCTCCTGCCAGACCAGAGGCTGTTCTCTCCCCAGCACC